TTCTATTCCCATTGCTCAGATGTAGAGATTGCAGCTCAGGATGGTCCAAGGCCACACAATGAGTGTATTCATTCCTTGTGGCTACCAGAACCTTGGTGGCTTAAAACAATAGAATTTTATTCTCTCACGGTTTTGGGGCTCAAAAGTCCAGAATCAAGGCTTCCCAGGGCCATACTCCCTCCAAAGGCTGTATAGGAGAATCTGTTTCTTTCCTCTTCCTGCTGCTCCTAGTGGCTGCTGGCAGTCCTCACCTCGTGGCAACATCTCTCCAGTCTCTTCCTCTGTCTTCACACCACCTTCTCCTCTATAAATCTGTCTCCCGCACCCTCTCGAAGGATTGCCTGGTGCCCATCCTGAGGACTTGCTCCTCTGCAGCATGTTTACTTGAGAAGTGGCCCCTTCAAATGCTGCAGCTGGGGCTGCAAAATCTCCCTACCTCAGCCTGAAGATTGACACATATGGCTGGGACCTTTCCTGCTTTCAGCACTGGTTTGGGGGATGTAGCAGAATTAGCTGGTGAGACAGGCTGCATGAGAATACTTCTGGGCTGAATTGTAAACCCTCCAGAAAAAAGTGACTATGACCTAGTGGAGTTTTCCTTTGTCCTTCACTCTGACCAGCTCCCAAACTCACTTTAAGTCACGGATTTGGACTTCAGGCTCACTAAAGAATAAGAAACTGAAATGACAGGTTTAGATGCACGAGGACAGAAAGTGAACTGTGTGAATGGAAGTCGACAGCAGGTGAAGGTGCTGGGTGTGCCATTATATTGGGTGTGTCACTCGATCTCATTCATCTCATCAGCCCTGTGCAGTGGGCACTGCTAATGGCTGTGGCTCTTGGGCTCAATGTGCCCAAAGTTACACTACTTGGGAGGGGCCTCGTTAAGACTCAAATCTAGGTTCTTTCCAAAAACCATTGCCATTAACCATGGATCCATAAAGTCCCCTAGGACCTGCTCGGACCTGCTCAGGGGACAGTATCCTTGAACCCCACCCTGCAGGGTCAGTTGGATTTAGACAGAGAGGAAAAAGAAAGGAGTTCTGGGCAAGAGAAACAGAAAATACAATAAAAAACATGGAAGAGGGGATCAGCATCACATGGAACCATGCCTATTGGTTGTAAGCTCCATGGGGCACGGACCACGTTCTCCAGAGCCATCATTATATCCCTAATGCCTAGGTGAGTGCTTGGACATAGTAGATGCTCAATAAATATTTACTGTATGTGTAAATACATGAACAAGACAGTTTTCTTCTCTGTAGACCTTGAGTGTCTTGAGGGCAGGGAATAGGTCTTAGAAATCCTTGGGTGCTCCACAGCTCCCAGTGGTTAATAAACAACAAACACTCAGTAAATATGTTCTGGTGGCATGAATTAAGGAATGGCAGGGCAGGGATGGTGAGATGCGTCTGAGTGAAGAGGCACCGACACTTGGGGAAATTCTGAGCCATACACCTGGGTTGGCATGCCAAGGGCTTATCATGGAAGGTCTTCAGTGCCAGGACAGGGAGCTCTTGTATTCTTGTGGCATTTTTAAAAAGCCATTTCTTACTGTACGACTTTGCTAGATCTACAGAAACCTAGTGTCCAAACTCTGATGGGTGTGTACAGGAACCACTGTTAAGCACAGCTTAGAAATTGCTTTTCTGTAGGCCTGTCTCAGCCTGGCTCCATTGTTGCTATCTTCCCCCTTTGGGGTGACCACACTGTTATAACCAAAAGAAGACCGGTAAAAAGTTGTGAATGGGAGCCCGTAGGATATAGGTCATTTTGTGGGATCCCTGAGTTGTTTGTAACTTAATTGGGCTGGGAAGTCCCAGCCAACCTCCTCTAAGATGTGGTCTGCTTAGCCCAGGAGGTTTCAATAAAAGCTTTCCTCTCTTTTCAGGTGTTGGCTAAATTTGTGGTTTTAAGAAAGCCTGAGGGCCTGAAGGCAGCCCTGGGAGAAGCCCTTTCTGTGGGCAGTCGGAAGCATCTGGTCTGCAGGAGGAGCCGTCCGCTCACCTGGACCTATGACCCGCGGCTTCGCTCCCAGTCTGCCCACTGAGTTCCACAAGATGGGCTCATTCCGCAGGCCCAGGCCGCGCTTCATGAGCTCCCCAGTGCTCAGCGATCTGCCCCGATTCCAAGCAACCCGGCAGGCTCTGCAGCTGAGCTCTAGCTCGGCCTGGAACAGGTAAAGCAGGCGGCGAGGTGTGGAGTACAGGGCTGCCAAGGGCCAGAGCAGGGCCAGGGACTGGCTTAGCTTCCGCTCCTGTGCGCTCTGCCTCAAAAGGTCATGATTATATGGACAACTGGCTACATGGGCATTTTCCTGCAAAGAATTAGCTTTCCTTATTTGTGTGGAGAGAAAGTGGATCACTGGGGGCCTCTGGGTTAGCGGGGTCGGCTAGCCAGCCTGGGGCAGTTAGATTGGAATGTATAGTTATTGTCCATGCTCATTAGTCACACCCCAGACTATCAGAGTACCCAAAGGTGGGGCCATGTAAGTAATTTCAGGTCACCTATAATCTAACTGGAAAGATAAGACATATATCTGTGGAAAGCTAAATGAGCTGTATAAACCAGGGATTATCAGTACCTGTGAGCCACCAGTGGTTGGGGAGGAGACACTGAGGTTTGTAAGGTGTCTGACTGATCTTTTGTACACAAAGCATTGAGTAGAGACTGAATCAATATTATCTGGCATTTCTGTGGGCTACTCTTTTTTCACAGTACACCATTACTCTTTGGATGAGTTAAACACATTATTTTAAAGCATTATTGAATTCTTTGTAGTTTGGATCACTATGGATTTTTCTCAATGACTGTATAAATTTTATGTTGGGGAGGAAAGGGGGCCCTGAAATGCTCTGATATTAAATGGATCCTTGTTCTTTAGAAAAGGCCTGGGACCCTTGGTAAAGGCAATTGTAATCAGCTCCTTGCTGAAATATTGGGCTGGGGTCCCTGAGAATGTGGAGTCAAGACTTAACTGTAGCCCCTCATGGGACTAACCTCCTACTCCCTGTACAATCACAGGAGTGGGAATGAGGGGGCAGGTGAGGCTAGCCCCAGTGAAGTTCTCCCAAGGAGAGAGTTATTAAAAAGGCCAGGAATCAGCATTTTATATTAGCCCAGGCATCTGGGTGCCCTGAGAAGACAGGGATCTCAAGGTAAAAGATCACAGGCCCAGGCGGGCTTCTGCTTGCAGTACATGCCATTCTGTGTTCCTCCAGGGCTGGTGGTGCTGATGCCACAGTTTCCTGATTGCAGACCCCACTGCCTGCCCTTTATCACTGCTGCTCAGCAGCAGGGCTGCCAGCAAGTCGAGAGAGGGAGACGTGCTAGCCTGTGGGAAAGCAGGAGAGGGGCTGCTTCTGGATCCTCTTGACCCCAGTCTCCTTTTCTCTCCAAGGACCCTGGGAAGGAAATGATGGGTTCCAGGGATGGAAAACATGGCTGTATTTGTGCCATGGGCTTCCTGGCCCTTCTATGCAACTTTAGACCTGAGCTGCTTATTGAGATACCCCCAGGGAGGCAGATCCTCTAATCAGGGGTCGTTTCTGTCTCCCCACGCAGCGTCCAGACTGCCGTGATCAACGTCTTCAAAGGGGGCGGCTTACAAAGCAACGAGCTCTATGCACTGAATGAAAACATCAGGTAGGTGGATGGCCAGGTCTGGGCCATTTGGAGCTGGGCCAGGGGGGCCACCCCACTGGGAGCCTTATCATAAAGTTTTTTCTGCTTGGTTCTTATTGCTGCTTCTGTCAGCTTTTATGTGGCTCTGATGGCTTAAGTTCTAAGACCCTTATCTGCCTAAACTTCTGATCCAGAGAGGGTTCATCCATTTGTTCGTGTATATAGTGTGTCTGGGGCACACAGAGGGGTTAGAGGGTTGCTATATGGCAGTGCTATATGCCATATATTCTGTAAACATTTATTATGCCCTGCTTAATTGGGTACCATGTTAGCTAAGAGGACTTAGTGGTTAAACCAGACTCCTTGGGGATCTTATGGATCTCCTCCCCCTCACTAAGTGACTTAACTTTTTAGTACCTCAGTTTCCTCTTACATGAAACAGGGATAAGAAATGTGCCTACTTACAAAGGATTCTTAGGAGGATGTAAATTGAGTTATTATATAAATGGTCTGTTAGAACAGGGTTGGGCCACATGGAGGACTTGGTACTTGTAGCTCTCACCATCATTGTCAGTGGTGTTGCCCACCGTTACCGTGAAGTTTTGGTGATGTGACCCTCAGTAAGACATGGTCCTTGAGGAGTCTTGTCTCCCAGAATCTTCCCAGTAGTGTTGGCTTTTCATTCATTCATCAAATATTTGGGTGCTTCCCTGTTGGCCAGACACTAGAGAAATAAGAAAGAGCAAAGACAGATGCAGACCCTGCTTCTGGAATTTGTATTCAGTTGGGGAGATGATCATTAGTCAATTGTCACACATGTACAATGTGAACGTGCCACTTGGCAGCCACTACAGCAGAGCTGATGTGGTGAAAGTAGGTTAGCGTGACCTGGTCTTGCCAAGGAGGTCAGGAATGCTGATGTGAGGCTTGTGCTGTCATCTGAGGCATCAGTGGGAATTAACTAGATGAAGTGGCCTCTGGGTGGTGGAAATTGCAGGTGCAAAGGTCCTGTGGTGGCAGTGAGCAAGGAACTGAAAGTAGGCCCATGTGCACATAGATCTGGATGTTGGATGGTGGTGTGGTTGGGTTTGTGATTGGGTGAAATGAAGGTGGAGAGGCAGGCAGGGCCCAGAGCATGAGGGTCTCCTGGGGACAGGAGGTTGAACACAGGGTCTTTCACGGCCCTGGTGTTCATTCCTCTCTAATGTGTTAAGTGCAGAGCATCAAGATAAAGACCCAACCCTGCAGTGGGCAGAACAATAAACAAGGCCATTATTCAGGTTCTGTTTACACTAGTTCAGACCTGTGTTAAGGGTCAGTGAGGTGTTTAAAGAGCTCAGCTTTGATTAAAATCTTTAGTGCTCTGAAGTAAACAGAGTTGTGTTAAATTTCTACCCATGTTCTTGAATTTCACATGATAATTACATAGACATGGAAAGAGACAATAGAGATCATCTGGCTCAAGGCCTCCTTTTATAGAGGAGGAAACTGAGGCCCAAGAACTGAAATGATGGGGGCAAAGCTGGGTCAGCCAACCCTTGAGTTGCAAGAGCTCAATTTTACTCCAAGAACTAAGATCTTGGCTCTTTGTGAGGTTCTTTAGTTCACAGTAGAAGTATAAATAAATAAAACAGTGACTCAGGAACGTGCTAATTGTTACTCACTTTGGGAGACTGATCTTGAAAAGTCTCTGTTTGCAGGCAGCTAGGAAAAGCACTAGCCATGCCAGAGTTCACCAGCTCTTTTAGTCCCGGGTCTGCTAACTCAGGAGCCCTCACATGCCAAGAGGGTCTTCTAGATGAGTGAGGCTGGCCTGGGTGTGTGGAGGGAAGCGCTCACTCTCTGTTGAAAGGGCTTTACCCTGGCAGAACCCACATCCAGTGACATCTCATCTTATTTCTCAAGAAGAATGGGAAATGGGAATTTTTATGTGATATTTCCTGATTTTTGAGAGTTATTAATCCAAATTTCCCCAGATCACAATATCAGCCGCAGCATGCATGGGAAGGCATGGTGGATGGGGGGCTGTTGCCTCCCGGATTGTAGCACTAACGTCACAGTCGGGGAGAAGGGAGCTAACAGGGGTGGAGGTGCCAGGAAAAGCACTAGGCACCTTTCACATACATTAGCAGAGCCCACCCTCTTCATAGCCTTGTGAGGTAACCACTGTTATCAGTAGTTTGTCCACAAAACTGTAGAAAAGTGAAATAACTTGTCTCAGGTCACACACTATAAAAGGCCAAGTCAGGGTCTGAACGCCTGTCTGACCTCATACCTGTATTAGTTTGCTCAGGCTGCCATACGGACACCACAGCTTGGGCTGCTTGAACAGCTGACATTTATGTCTCATTGGTCTGGAAGCTGGGAGGTGCAAGATCAAGGTGCTGGCTGATTCAGTTCTTGGTGAGGGCTTTTGTCCTGGCCACCATCTCGCTGTGTCCTCACGTGGCCTCTGCATACACGATGGGGAGAGAGCAAGCTCTCTGGTGGCCCTTCTTAAAAGGGCACCAATCCCATCATGGGAAAGCCACCCTTGTGACCTCCTTGAAGCCTAATTATCTCTAAATACCAACACACTGAGAGAGCAGGGCTTTAACATAAGAATTTGGGGGGACATGGTTCAGTCCTTAGCAACACCCTTGCTTATTTAGATTGTGTCTGGGAGAGAGTTTTAGGATGGAAGAAAGGTTCAGCCAATGGGCTCGGTCTTTCTTTCTACCCTGGTTCCTTTCTTGACTCCTCAGGGTCCCAGTCTCACAATGGGCTGATTCTAAAAGCCTCTCCCCAACCCCTGACCCTCCGCCACCTTAGGAGCATGACACTCCTCCAACCCTCCTGTCCAGGGCTGGGTTTAAGGAGGTGCTGGCCGTTCCTCTCTCTGTTTTGAGCAGTTATTTTCAAGCTGGTGAGAAATACATATGGTTGGGGTTTGAAACTCATTGTCCAGATGTGAACTGAACCCAGAGTAAATCAAAGCTGTCAAAACCCAGGGCTTCAGTTACCCACGTCTGTACCTTCTGTCCCCTGGCCTTCTCTAGGAAGGTGGTTGAACTGGAGATGGGCTTTCACATCGCAGACGCTCGGTACAATCATGGGAAACGCATTCCAGGCATACATGTGACCCAGTGGTCCTAAGTTGAGTCCAGTTAGCCGAGCTGCCTGTGTGCCCACTTCTGCCAGTGTCTACATGGAGATAAATGCTGCTTCCCTTATCTGCATCATTAAATTGCTGCAGTGGACATGCCCCTCTCTGGTTACCTTCTAATAGGTAGTTGGGTTTTGACTTTCCTTTCCTCAGCTATTTTTTGTTTGGAAGACCTGTTTGCAGAATTGATCCATAAACTCAGTAGGCTTAAGGCATGACCCCTGAGGAGGGTGGGTGCATGGGCGTGGAGGGCCCAGGACAGTAGAAAAGTAGGGAAGAAGGAGAGAAGGCTAGGTTATTCTCAAGCCCATTTTTCAATCAATTGTGACAGTTCTGTGTGCAGGAAGCTCTGTGCCAGGTTCACTAAAATTTTTTAAGTTGTTAGCAGAGTAGCTTCTGGATTCAGAGAGACTGGGGATCAAGATTAGACTAGCTGTGGGACCTTGGGCAAGTTACTTGATTTTTCTCAGCCTCTGTTTTTTGTTGTTTGTTGGTCTGTTTGTCTTTTCAGTAAGATGGGGCTAATAGCATCAGCTCCTGGTGTTTGGGAGGACTGAGGTAATGCTAAAAATGTCACTAGGACAGGATCCAGTGCATAATAAATGTTAGCCATTAGTATTCCTATTATTGTGGAAATTTAGCAATAATAAAGGGACAAATGATGGATGAGCACGGCACAAGAGAGCACAGGGCAATGTGGTGAATTGCCCCTGAATGGTACTGTAAAAAGATTTCTCTAGTGTTTTGGATGAGGCGAGCTCACTTTGAACCAGAGAGATCTGGGACAGCCTCCTCCAAGAACGTGCTATACTTGGAGTTTGGGTGAGGTTTGAGTTCCTACTAGGAGAGCCAGCTGTTTCTCCTTTTTGTAGAGAAAAGAACAAGAGGAAATGACTCTCTCAGTTCTCTATTCTACTCAAGTCAAACTGTAATAAGCTTTGATGGTTTATTCAAATCCAGTGTCAAAGTGTAATGAGCTTCAGGTCACCCCAGCTAGCTGTGGCATCCTCCTGACTGTGGAATTAGTATGTGCCCGGAAAATGTGAATTGATTTAAATATTAGCCAATGCAAAGAATGGCCGGGAAGGCAGTTTTATGTAACTGAGTCCTGAAATGCAGTTAGTACAGACATTTGGTCCTTTCTTTTAAAACATGTATCAAAACTGAACTCTAGTTTATTTTTTAGACTTTGGGGTCTCTATCAGGAAGAATTTTGGATGGAGGATGGTCAAGTTCTAAATACATTGTTAGATTAAGAGAAGGACATGGAGACCTTTAAAGAACAAACTCATCAGGAATGTCACACCTCAATAAAGCAGCAAATTTTCCCCAAATAAATAGGGGCATATGCTTTATCAGTGGAAGGACTGTAAGTCAGAATGTCTTCTACTGAAACTGCCTTAGAAGGCAAGGCGTGCACATTTTCATATCCCTAAAGTCAAGAAAATGACCTTTCAGGCTAGACATTCTAGTGAAATCCCAGGTCATCACTATTTACAAGTCTGCCCTCCCTGAGTTTCCACCTGCCCTGCTCTGGCCTGGTCCTGGGTGTCTTCTTGGTTTCAATCTCGGTGAGGCATTGGTGCAATTTTTAACACCCTCTCCAGCCTTAATCCTGAGGCAGCTGCTTGTTGGCAGGGGGGAACAAGTCTGGGTTAAAGGTTTGCGTGCCAGGAACTCTCCCAAGAGCAAACTCCAATACAGCCACTGGTTGTATGTGACCAAGAAGAGTTAGAGAAGTGTGGGAACCTATGATGTATGTTTACTGGTTCTTTTAAGAACCTATCGCATGAAATAAGCCAGGTGGAGAAAGACAAGTACCAAATGATTTCACTCATTTGTGGAGTATAACAACAAAACAAAACTGAAGGAACCA